TTTTGGAGTGCCCTCCAAGAGGATGCAGTGATTATTGGGAGATAGCTACTGTTTCCTACTGGCGGCTTAAATATGTTTACCTTTCTCATACAATATAAGTCTAAATTATATATTATCTAATTATATATATTTTAAATGTGTGTGGTGGTTTTTAATAGTATATGCAGTTAGAATTAAATTGCTTGAAAAGATAGGGAGCTATTTTTCTGGGTAGATGGGATTGGGGAATAGCCGCATCATAGTTCTGGAAACTGAAAAACAAAGTGATATCTTTTTAAGATTAAGCACATCAAATAATATAATATATAACCTGCCCTAACAATGGGATTTTTGGTTAAGGAAAAAAAAAATTTCATTGAAATAAATAATGATGGCTTGATACTATACTTTTTATTCAGGCTAAACTGCCACTGAAGTCAAAGGGAATTTGGCCCAAAAAAGACTGCGGATCATGACCTAAAAACAGGAAAAAATCTATACAATTGATTATGATACAGTAAAATGAAAAGTCATTTTGATAGGCCAATAAAAAAAGAGTTAGATTCCATCAGATTCCCCCTGTGTATTATGACATGGTTGCGTTGCTCATTCTTAATACTTGCTTTCTGTAAAATATGATGTCACAAAGACAGCTGTAGTCAGCTGTTCTCCGTGGATTTGGAGTTTGATGAATGAGAAACATTTTACACTTGAACTATTAGATTCTGTTCACTTGCTATGCTTCCAATGAGGAATGACCTTGGCATTATTTAGGATAGATTTTTAAGACCATTGCAAAATTCAAAAAGGGAGACAAGAAAATGGGGGGTGCATGAAAGGAAGGAGGGACAAGGGGGAGTATTATGATAGTATGATAAGCAGAGGGATGTCATCTTAGGACCTCCAGATGCTCTAGAAACAGTAAGACATGGATTGTGGATGCATAAGGGAGTGAATTTTTCAAGGACCCTCTCCCTCATTTTAATGTCCCAGTGCAGGATCCCCCTAAATGTGACAGGAGAGAGCAGGCCCTCCCAATTCCTAAAATCTTTTTGGTCACTAGCTGCCTGAAACAGGATGGAAGACCATGAGGGTATATCCCAACCTCTTCTCTACACTGGACAGTGAAACTAGCTAGGCACAATGCTAACATATGCTGCACCCTCTCTTTGTGTGATGAAGCTACCTCTCAAATGTGTGGCTTGGGAAAAAATCTGGATGAAATCATTGGGATCTTGCTTGAGAGGGGACTGGGTTAAAACTGTGTAAGGACCTGCTTATTTGACTTGATGCCCCTTACAAGCCAGAGTCACTAATTTATTATATCTGCAAGCTCTGCTAATTATAGGTAGAGCTGGTGATACCACCTATAGTTAAGGTTATGTGATGTTTAGAACTAGTTGGACAATGTTTTTTCTTTTTCCCCCAATTAGAAATTTAGAATTTTTGGTGAAAAAATAAAAATGAGAACTTTCAGACAAACCCCAGAATCTCAATTTGGAAATGCTGCACAGGTCCAAATGGAAGCTGTAGTTCAGGTGGCACATATCCTTGTTCTCCTCAGTGTGCCAGGCTCCCTGGTTGAACTACATCTTCGTGCACCATAATCTCCCCATCTTGCTGAGATGCCACAGGTGGTCATAGGAATCCCTGACTTTTGTGCATAATGGAAGATGTAGTCCAGTTGGGGAACCTGGCCCCTAGAGGGGAATGGGGGCACAGGGCAACCAAACTACAACTCCCATGAGTGACTGCAGCAGTATTTACAAATCACAATATTTCTTTTTTTGGCTAAAACTTTTCAGTTTTCAGGTATTTTTGGTGAAAAATGGAAATTGTCCATGAAAAGCAGATATTTTTTTCAGACAGACGTTGTTTAGCTGAAAACATAATTTTTTTCATTTAAAAAAAAAAGACCATTTCTGGAGTGTCCAGAGAGGATGACTGGAACTGCCTGGACAAAGAGACTAGTACTGGGATGAGATACCTGAGTGACTGGAGATTGGGAGTGGCAGGAGTCCTGTAGTAACTTCTTGTTTTATCATAAAGTACATCTCAGTCCTGTAAAAATAAGCAAAGTGTGGATTCTTAATTTAATCAAACAAGCTAGTGTGTAAGCTGTCTCTTTGGAAATAGCGAATTTGGTAATTTCAGTGAGTGACCAGTGACGGGGGCTGGATACTCCAGGGGAATGCTCTTCCAAGGGGCTTGGGAACTAGTATTAGCTACAAGACAAAGGAAAGGCTGGCAGATCTTTGAGGGAGATTGGGTGTGTATTCTGACTGTATGTACAGGGAACTGACACACAGTTTAGCACCAGCAAGTCTCTCTTTTGCTAGGGCAGAGGGGTAATAAGGTGACTCATAGTTCTGGGACCATGGAGAAAGTGTTATGGTAGTTATTAACGACTATATAATAATGCATACATTGAAGGGGGAATAGCATAATATTTTTTGTTTTGAGTGACTTTGCAACCATAACATTCTTTTAACATATTTTTGTGTGTGTAATTATAAATAGGTCTGTGTCAAACTTAAAAATTCATGTGAGCATTTTCTCACATTTCAGGTCTGGGCACTCCAGCTCAAATTTCACTCTCCGTTTTGGGTTCAATAAATTTATACTATGAGTAAACTGTAGATGAATCTATGATTTTTCCATTATTTCAATTTGAAACCATTAATTAGCCCATATTTACTCTAAACTGAACTCAAGTTTACTCAGAAGGTTCATGAACCTTTCGATCAACCAGTGCTCTTAGTTTTAACCTGTAACAAAACCTCTAATCTTACCATTTTTGTGTAGCTTCAAGTTATGTTGCTAACATCTCACAGACTTCTAGATCTGAACCTTCAAGCCAAACTACATTTAGGAAAATGGAACAGTGTTTTCTGCTCCTTTGCTGAATATCATCAGGGATTGGTCACCATTTTATTTATTTTTCTACTTTTGAACACCCACTTTAATCTTTGTTCAAAGAGAGCCTGATCCAAAGCCCATTAAAATCAACGGAAAGACTTCCATTGGCTTCAAAGGGCTTTAGAAAAAGGCTCAGTGTGGTATTTCATGTGCTACAAAAGTTGATATATTTACCCCCTTTAGAATGTCTTGGTCAAAATCAAAACCTCAATAACTAAGATGACTTTGAGTGCTTCTCTTCTTCATTCTGAACTCTCCCTATTGCCAACCCTCCAAAAGGTTAATGAACCAGGTCCACATTGTTTAGATTTTGTACCAACTACAAAGAAATATGTTGTGAATAGCTGATAAGTGGCAAGATCAATAATAGGAAAACATCTCCCAGCTGGTGTTATATGAAGGAAAAATGACCAACAAATGACCTGGAATTGTCAACATAGGTTTGTAATATATTGATTAGTTACACATTAATCATCATATCTTAAACAACTGTAATGTAGACATCTGAGCCAGTATATTTGGATTATCATGCATCTTAAAACTAAATTTCTGAATGCATGCCTAAGTTAGGCCTAAAGTGTTGCTCCACTGAATCACCTTAGTAGCATTCTTAGAGCCCTTCTGCAAATACTGTTTGCTCATTACTGACCTAGTAAAAAAAGCAAAGAAGTTCAGCTTAAACCCAGGCATTTGCTAGGTAACTGCAGTGTGGTTATTTTTAAATTAATTTGTTCAGCATCCCTAAAGACTGACTAACTTTTGGCAACCACAAGTAAGATTTTTGTTCAGCAATTCTCAAAGTTCCAGTTCAATTCTGGTACGTCTTTATATTTTGATTAGCAAAACATCCATCTGTTCTTCTCTAAAGAATTTTGGTGCTGTGCGAATTTAATCGAGGCTAAGGCACATTTGCACAATGCACATTTATTAAAAGATAACTTGGAAAAGAGTTCTCTCGTAGGAATTTGCTTTAATATCTTGTTTAGACTGATTCCTCTAAATATAACATTTAATATTATTATTAAACTGCACTCACATCTAAGCGAGTTCCTCGTTTTGGCATCAATATTTTACATACAATATTGAGCTTTGTTACTGTGCAGAACTTAAATTTAAAACATTTTGTTCTGTATTAATTAATATGAATCAGTAGAACTGAATCTACTAGTGCCTTCAATAGTTTGAGAGTGAAATCTTGGCCCCATTGAAGTCAATGGGAGTTTTGCCATTGAGTCTTTATTTCATTTTACCTTTCTAACTTTGTAATCTGTTTACATTTGTTATTTAATTTGTTTGTATAAATAATTTAACATGCCATTTTTTTTAAAAAAAAGCAAACAAAATAACATAGTAACTCTGATTTAAAACAGCATTACCTCATACAGGGATACATTTCATCAGCTCCTGCCTTTTCCCCAACAAACATTGTCAACTCCCAGAAGACAAACTATTGTCTGACACTCCATTGAACTTTTCTGTCAACAAAATAATGATCATTTCGAGATGAGAGAAAGAGTGCAGATTAAGAGAACACATTCACTCTTGTTTTTGATAAAATGCTATTTTATAGAAGCAGTAATTTATGTAAAAATGTATATTGCAAAATATGCATGTTGATATTGCTAGGAAGTATAAGACATTGTAAAGCTCTAAAAATAGTACAGTAGGTGAGCTTAAAAAGATACGGTCTCAGATCTGTTGGCTATAGTGAATAGTTATAGAACCAGTAATTTCTTGAAAGCCAGAATGGACTTTTAAGTGTGTACTCTTTAGTTAAAAGGGAAAGGATTATTTTAAATATCTCTTGAATTTGTATAAGGTGACGGTCTATTTATTAGCTCCACAAATTTACATAAGAACAATGCTACTAAGAATTTATAACACATTTTAAATGTTTCGAAGGACTCCTGAGGCTGAGAAGTGTATGTGCTTTGTGTGTGTATATGTATAAATATGAATTGGGGGGGGGGGGAGGGGAAAGAGGAACAGTCTCCCTTTCTTTCTCTCAAGAGACTGCCTGAAATTTAATTGAAGTAAAATAAATGTTCTTATCAGAAGTCACAATAGACCTTCCCAGTTTTGTTTGTGGCAGAGTTCAGGAACCCTCCCATGGCTTACTCTACCTTCCCCCACTTCAGATATTAACCAGGACATCATGCCTTCCAAACATTAAATGAGCTGAGCGATGTTTTATTACATTTCTCATGTGGCTAAGCTTAGTGTGGCTTTTAAGTGTTCCTTGGTATGCCGTGCTTACCCAAGTTATTTTCTGCTGTGGATTGTTGATGCTGCAGCAGCAGATGTGCCTTGAATTCCAATGAGGAGAAGGAATTGGAGGGGGGGGAAAAGTGAGTATTTTTAAAAGACTTATAAATTCACATTGTTCTCTATATTTCAGGTTTGATTTATTAGGAATTAACTGTTTTAAGTAATGGTGCAAAATGATAATTATATTTTTACATATCAAAATAGTTTTTTAATCTTTTTGTAAATTTTGCAGTGTATTGAAATCTGTTATATGTAGTCAGCTGTACTACATACAATTTTAGGCTACATGAAAAATCTAAGCATAGAAAATTTAATTTTAATAATGACTGGCCAAAACAATGGGGGAAATGAAGCAGATGTGAATCTAAATTATAACTAAATTAGGTTTTCCTTTATGGCACTATCTTACTTTGTTCTGACAATTAGGAGAATGTATAAGCAGTGAGGTGGCCCAGTGAAGTGATGTGTATATTTTCACAAACTGTTTTAGGGGATTAAAATCTTTCAGTGTGCTCTATCCATCTGCTTAGAGCTTGTGTTATTGGAAACAGTGCCTTTCCTCTTCCAGCAGTGATACTCAGATCCCTAGTTCTTAAGGGCTGTGTATGAAACAGATTTTAAGGGATCCAGCCCTGATTAGAACAGTTAGCCTGTTAACATCCTATGTATTTACAGTGGATTATTTGAAGGGAAGCAGGGGTTAAGTCAGCAGGTCTCTCAGCTTCCCCAGGGGTTAACCTGGCAGCCTGTTTGGCACACACAGGAGGGCTGACAGGTAGCAGGATTTGTCTAAGCAGAGTGCATGAGAGCCAACAAGGAAAACTGAATGCTCTGGATTAGTTTTGGATTATGTTGTCAGAGTGAAGCCTGACGGACAAACTGCAGAGGAATAAAATGCAATCTGTTTGGGGAGAGAGACAGCGTGCATAGCTTTCATTTTTCAAGAAATGACAAGAAAAATCATTAATAATTTGTAAATCCATGTCCATTAACTTTTTTCTCTTTGTTATCCCAAGACAGTATCTTTAATGTGAATTTGCCACTGTTCTATATCTGTTCTTTCTTGTGACAGATGGCAAGACAGATATGAAATTGCATTCATAAAATATAAAAGAGAGAGGGAAAATATCTAGAAAACTAAACTTAGCACCTGGACTTTCTATGGTGGGGTGGGGCTTGGGAAAGATGTCTCTCTCTTGTGTAGTTGGGTCATAAATGATGAAGTTCAATATAATTTTCGGACTTTTTCTATTTTGCAGCTCCACATCAAATAGATAATTATTTCTGTTTCAAAACTTGATGAGCAATACTTCGTAATCATTCAGTAAAAAGAATTAGATGCTACTGATAAAAGTGAATTTCCTATCTTTCTCTAACTGGTTATTTCATTACGATACAACAGGTTTAGAGCATTCAGAGTTCGACAAGTTCCAGTGCGGGATGGGGAGACATACAATGCAACTTATGTGCCCTTTTCAAGAAAGACCTGCACTATTTTTCATTATAATAGTGTTTGTTCTTGTCAGTGTCATGCAGTTCTGTGTTAGTTCCTGACAAAATGGTCATCCTTGCTATTAGTTAGCAGTGACTTCTTTGGCCACAGACAAAGCCAGTGAATAATGGTCTCTAGCAAATATTCATGAACTTCGGTCAGGTCTGACTTTTCATGAGGTGACTAATGCAGTTATTATTTTATAATGGGAATAATACATCTAACAAATAAATTAAATATAACTTGCCAAAGAGGGTGCATTTAAATTGCAATCAAAAGCCAGAGAATGGCTGACTGTCAAAATGACACCATGGACTTAGCCTTTTTCAATTACTTCCTTAACAAACGTGTTCAGTTTGCAACTCAAACGTTTGATATCTTCCCTCTGGCCCCCACCAATACTATATGGCAAACTCAACGATTTGAAAATCAAGCAGTATGTTGTCTGCTTCTTACAATATTTCATCACTAGTAACAGTAATTCTGAAAATTGGAACCAAGTGGACTATTTTGTTCCTGTTGCATGTGACAGAATAAAATACAGCTCATTCTTCCATAAGTATATTGGCTCTGCAAGAGTAACATAGGTGAACCAGTAACATGCAGCAAATAATTTATTCAGTGAAATTCATCCCTTTTTTCTGTTTGTGAATTATCCATGTGTAGATTGTGATTTTTCTTAAACTTATTCACCATTTGAAATAGTTTGGCAAATATTTTGCAATAATCATTCTTGCTTTGTGTTCCATCCACAAGTAGTTTGTTGCAGACATTGAACATATGAAATCTGAGATGCATTGATTAGTTTTGACTGGGCAAATAAATCACATGATATGTTTCTATTCCCTGATCAGTTAATGTACCTCTTGCAAACAGGTTTCTGATGCAAATGTTAATATTTTATAATTTATGCTTTTTTAATATTCTCTATTCACCGAAAGGGTGCTGTTTCTGTGAACATTCCTGCTAGTAATTTTGTTTGCTCAGTTATTTATGGAAAGTGACCACAAAAGTGACATGAACATAGCTGCACCCAACTTCTATTTGAGCAAATCGGAGAATATTTTGGGGGTATTAGCTCAGCTCTAACCGAAAGAAATAAAACATTGTTTTTTCTCAGTAAAACAAGCAGATCTGAGTAGAAGAGGCAGGGGAAGCAGCAATATTAAGTAACAATGTTGTCAGTTTTTTATATAATTGTCATTTATCTGATTATGCTTTGTAAAATGGTTACTTAAACTAATTTCCTCCTTACCCCAACAATACCACTATTAAAAAAGAAGAGATATTTCTGGGTTGTTAAAATAGAGATTTGTGCCTTGCTCTTTGTGGAAAAGATTGCTATCTGCATTTACAAACAACTTCCAGTTTTACTGTGGGTATGGATGATATTGTATCATAAAAGGCTTACACGCACACACACTCACAGACAGGCCAACAAATAAGTCTTCAGTCTATGTGAGGAGAAAAGTGCTTGCCCATTTTCATCCCTTTATTACTGTTCTTATACTGTATTTTGAAGTAGAGAGTAGTAATGTAATTTCATTCTAATAGCAATCAAATAAAATGGCAGAAAGGGAATTCAGCCAACCAACCAATATAACCAGTTAACAGTTTGCGAAGCATCATAGAAGATTAGGGTTGGAAGAGACCTCAGGAGTCCACCCCCTGCTCCAAGCAGGACCAGCGCCAACTAAATCATCCCAGCCAAGGCTTTGTCAAGTTGGGCCTTAAAAACCTCTAAGGATGGAGATTCCACCACCTCCCTAAGTAACCCATTCCAGTGCTTCACCACCCTCCTAGTGAACTAGTGTTTCCTAATATCCTACCTAGACCTCCCCCACTGCAACTTAAGACCATTGCTCCTTGTTCTGTCATCTGCAACCACTGAGAACAGCTGAGCTCCATCCTCTTTGGAACCCCCCTTCAGGTAGTTGAAGGCTGCTCTCAAATGCCCCCTCACTCTTCTGTTCTGCAGACTAAATGAGACCAGTTCCTGCAGCCTCTCCTCGTAAGTCATGTGCCCAAGCCCCCCTGATCATTTTCATTGCCCTCCACTGGACTCTCTCCAATTTGTCCCCATCCTTTCTGTAGTGGGGGGCCCAAAACCGGACGCAATACTCTAGATGTGGCCTCACCAGTGCCAAATAGAGGGGAATAATCACTTCCCTCGATCTGCTGGCAATGCTCCTACTAATGCAGCCCAATATACTGTTGGCCTTCTTGGCAACAAGGGCACACTGCTGACTCATATCCAGCTCTTCATCCACTGTAATCCCCAGGTCCTTTTCTGCAGAACTGCTGCTTAGCCAGTCAGACCTCAGCCTGTAGCGGTGCATGGGATTCTTCCTTCCTAAGTGCAGGACTCTGCACTTGTCCTTGTTTGAACCTCATCAGATTTCTTTTGGCCCAAGCCTCCAATTTGTCTAAGTCACTCTGGAGCTGGGAACCATGGCCAATGGGATCTGCAGGGGCAGCACCTGTGGACAGGGCAGCGCACCGAGCCGCCTGGCTGTGCCTCTGCGTAAGAGCCAGAGGGGGGACATGCCGCTGCTTCTGGGAGCTACGTGAGGTAAGTGCCATCTGGAGCCTGCACCCCTGACTCCCTACCATGCCCTGACTCCCTGCCCCAGCCCTGAACCCCCTCCTGTCCTCAGAACCCCTTGGTCCCCACCCAGAGCACCCTCCTGCACCTCCAACCCCTCATCCCCAGCTCCACCCCAGAGCCTGTACCCTCAGCCTGAGGCCTCACACCCGCCCCCTCCCGCACCCTGAACTCATTTCTGGGCCCACCCCAGAGCCCTCACCCCAACCCCCAATTTTGTGAGCATTCATGGCCTGCCATACAATTTCTATACCCAGATGTGGCCCTTGGGCCAAAAAGTTTGCCCACCCCTGCTCGATCAGGAACCAGGGAGGGAAGTCTACTCCCCAGTTTTCAACAGCCAGGAAGGTGGGGGCTAACAGGATAGTGGGAAGAATTGCTGGGGTGGGCAGGGAAGGTAGCCTGAAATTTTGGTGGATTTTAAGTAGCCACTTCATACTTAAGGTTGCAACAGAGTATCCATTATACACTCAATTTTAGCCCTCGCTCTAAAATCCACAAAGTCATATCAACCTCAGAATTGGTAAGTGAGCTCTGGAAATTCCTACCCTGCATGTTTACACTGCAAAACAAGGTGTGTTCTTAACTCAGGTTAGCTAACTCAGTTCAAGTTCAACTCCAGGCTCTCCTAGGGTATGCCTACACTGCAGCTGGGTAGACAGATTCATGCTAGCTGGGCTTGAGCTAGCACACTAAAAATAACATACGTTTTGCAGCTCTGGCAGAGACTCTGGCTAGCACCCAAGCTCAGACCCAGGATGTTAGGTGGGCCTGAGAGCCCTCTAGGCATTAACTTGAGCTGCTAAACTGAATTAAAAGCCTAACCACCATGGCTTTACTGCTTTTTTTCACCTGAGTTAGCTAAAGTGGGATAGTTAACGTCTACACTGCCCTTTTTGCAGTGTAGACATAGCCTTACTTTAAAATCAGGAATAATGAAAAGCATCGGCCTCATCAACTCATTTACACATAAGAACTTTGATACAATTTTTGGTTGTCAATGATTGTGTAAAGGTAGTTTAAAAAACAAATAGATGTGATTGTGGCTTGAAGACAACATTAGTAGCAAACTAAGAGTACTCACAATTTTGAATGTTAAAAGTTTTTTGTTTTCTTCTGGAGACATTGAAATAACTTTCTAATATGGAGAGACAAAATCTCAAAGATGATTCCTATAAAACTATTGTGGCTTTCTCACCCAGCCTTTTTATTTCACTTCTTTATATTGCTGGTTAAAGCAAGTAGTATATGCTGTTTGACATTTGGCTCAGTGGCTGGGGGCTGGTGAGAGATTCTCTCACCTAAACTAGTGTCTCCCACAGAAATGGTTGGTTTGACTGTGAATATAATTAGTGATACTGTAATTGCGTCTATCTAGTCAATCAATGATTGTCACCGGGGTTTTTCAAACTATTTTTGTTAGTAAATGTGACCAATAAGGTGGGTAGTGAAGTTGATTCCATTCCCATTTCACTTCAATGGAAAAAAATCCCTTTGATATCTGTGGTAGCAGGTTCGGATCTAGAATAAAAGAACGCTTCTGAAAAGTTAAACCTTTACAATGGTTTGCCACCAAAAGATTTTTTTCAGTTTTGTAATAGAGTATGAAAACTTTCACAATAAATCCAAGTACGGAGAAAGTTAATAACTCAACATGTACTTAAAGTTAACTTCAGCACTGAACTACTTAATGGAAGAGGGAGGGGAATTAATTTAATACCCTGGCAGAATGCAGTCGGAATGAAAAGGTGAGCTGTAGCTTTCATTTTCCTGTTAACAACAAAAATGAAACCATTCTGAACTGTCTTAATTCTCCTCACAGGAATAAAGGTCTTTCATTTAAGAGTCTGTAGTGAAAATATCTAAAACAATAAAGAAACTAGGTAGAATTTATTTATTTAAATACAGAATTAACCATATCTGCTGTTGAATTGTTCTAGGGTCCCACCGGGCTCTGTGGTACCTGCAACTCTCAGTACAATGTACACTGGGGCATCACAGTTGGCTGTAAAGTGGGATTGTGGCACAAAGCAGCTAGAACATACCAATAAATTTAGTCCTCTCTGCTTAGTTCATTTGTCTACAAGCATCTTAAACTAATTTTCTTAAATTTCAGTAAACTTTTCTTCCCTGAGAGAGTTAATATAGGTCCAAAATCTTAAACAATATGTATGCATTACCACCATTATTATACATGCTTTCATGGTGACTGTACAACAGTGAGGTAATTTGCCTGCATAATTACCACTATTGCTTGTACATTCATTGTATTTGTGTGCACAGTCATGGCAGCCACATTCACAAATTTGAGTATTTGGACACTGAGTCCTCAGATAAAGACTATAGTCCATCCAGAGTGCTTCAAAAGCAATTTACAAACAGCCATGAAAACTCTGTATAGGGATTGCTTCATTTATCACTAAAATACAGCCGCATGGAGTGAAAACACAGCAAATTTACATGACCATGTAGAAAATCCATCCTGATTGAAATGGCAGAGACATTTAGGTACAGACAGAATAACTAGAGAACTGGAATTGTATCAGGACACCATATTTAACAACTTTGCTGTTAGAGTGTACCAGGTGATCTCAAATGACTAAGGCTACAATTTTGACACTGAAATTTTTACTAAATGTCAGAGCAGAGGGGTGTATGGCGGGGAAACAATAATTCACGGAACTGGTTGGGGAGTTGGAGAGCAAGCCTACCCCACACTTACCCACAGCAGCGGCTCCTGTCCCACAGGGCTAGGTCCGGCTACCTACTCCAGGCATTGCGACCTGGTGCAAAGGGTTGCAGCGCCACTCTGGTTTGTCCCATTCACCCCTCAATAGATGGAGACTGAGAGATGGATAGGCCAAACCTAGGTGGCATTGCAACTCTGTGCACTAGGTTGCAATGCCACTTGGTGGGGAGCTTAATCAAATGTATTTTTACAGACGTTTCCAAGATTTTACAGAATTTATTTAAATTCATTATTTCCATTACTACTGTGACTACTGTAAGAATTTCATAGCCTTACTAATGACCAGTTATGGTCAAGACTTTAGTTTTACTTCTAACTGAAAATACAACACATCCAGCAATATAGTTCTCTCTATTACCATGCAAACTGGTTTTTGTAAGGCCTCCCATCTAGTGAAAAACCAACAACACCTGAGTGTTCCTGTATGTTGTCCCATCCACATACTGACCTAGCACCCACCATGCATAGCTTTTAAGAACTGATGAGAATCGCAGCACAGCTTGGTTTGGCTGCAATCTTGTTAGTCTAGAAGAATAAAAGCAAGAGAACTGCTGTTAATTCTGTTACTCAGCTTTCAAAACCTCTCTATATTGTGCCAAGTTGACTGACCAAACTGGGATTAATAATTGATTTCTTTTTCATGAATTTATGGTAAATGACAGAGTATAATAAAACACTTCAGAATACTCTGTTTTGGGACATTAGTAATAGTAGCTTTAGGAAAACTTCAATATCCTGTTCCTTTTTTAATATAGGAAAAAATGTCATAATGCATGGATATAACTACAGCAATAAATTATCAAGGGGCGCAGGGTTTTAATGGAAATAAATGCAAAAATTCCTCCATTTGTCCTCCTGATTTTGGGGGGTTTCAAAAAGAATAACTGGGAAAGCTTTGGTCCTTCTCTAATTTATCTCTGTGCAGCCTTTAATTTTATTTAAAGTTAATTTTAGTGATGTTCTATTTACACCATCGAGGGTTCGGCTCTGACAGCTACAGTCTTAAATTCAGCAGAGTTATCCCTGCTTGTTTTAGATCTAGAGCTCATAGGAACACAGGAAACCATAGGCAAGTAACACATGCAATCACAAGAACAAGGTCCACTATCATTTATCAATTATAAAGTTACCAACAAAGTTATGAATGTCACAGTATATACAACTCCTAAATATATCCAGGCACCAATTATAACTACAGACATACCCACATCCTTCTAGATAGTGTTGGAGTCTGATGGCTCTCTCATGGATTGATCATCAGTAAAGGGATGGTTCCTGCTGGAGTTCTCTCATAGGAAGCTCAATTTTTCTGCTCTGGGCACCCCCTTTTTATAATGTGATTCTGTCTATACCTACATTCTGCACATGTACATGAAAGTGTCAGCCCCCTTTTTCCTTATTGGTCTGATGTCCCCTAGAAACATAAGGGACCCCGATTTCTATAGGTTGTGTAGGTTCTCATTAGCACTGACGCACAACCTGTATTCTGTGGTTAAGACAATGTTGGAGACACAAAAATGCTATAGAGGCACATCTGATTTAAAATTAATCTTCCAGCTAATTTTTCACAATATTACCACTTGGTATCTCTTTTCCCATAATCTTAGGGCATCAGGTTATTCTTCAGTCACTTACTTGTGTCAGCATTTCTTCTCTCCAAGGCCTAAAATAGCTAAGCTAAAATCTTGCAGGCTTCAGGTCTTGCATTTCAGCCTTCCTTACTTAAATATCTAATATGATTCCCTCTTATATTAGTCTTATACTTCTATAATCCTACAATTTAATTTATGATTATATATAATCTGACGTCAATTAATCATAACATCACACAATAAATGGATGATAAACTAAAATGATTGGCTACATGTGTTTATAGTATTGTATCATCCTTTCACAAGTTTGACTCACTTAAGGTTAGTTTGTGGTGGTCCCCGTCCACCTGTCAATCCAGGGGGCGGTCTCTTAGGTCCCCTATAACCAGTCTACATGATCCATGGCTCTGTCTCCTCCCTGCTCCTTATCAGCCCCTTTGTGGCAATTTTCATCCTCTAGTGTGCATAGATGGAGTATTTTCTGCATTCTCTCAAGAACAAGGACTTGCCCTGTATAGGATAAGAAGGGTCTTTGCACCTTCAACCCCATCACCTGTACATAATCATATAAGGGCCTGAGACAGTCTGGCCCTAAGTAGTCAGCTTTTCCTGTGAATATTTACTATTCAAGACTTGGGGAACAAGAAATAAATTAAGCAAGTGGCTAGAAGAATCCTGGATAAAGGGGCAGATCTACTCTGAAAAGTTAGTATTATATATGCCACCAGTTTACTCAATAGATCTGCTCCCTATGTGTATTAGCTAGTCTTTCTCCTTACTTTACTGACTCAAATAAGCGATGACCATGTTTTTACTCCTGTTAGCACAGCAGAGCCAATGTATTTATGAAGACTAGCTAGACACCAGTTTTGAGGTAATTTTTATTCATCCATTGATGAGTAAGTCAGAGCATCTCCTTTTTTTTTTTCAGTGAAATAAAGTTATATGCTTTTTGTCCTTTAATGATATAACCCCAAATGAAATGTCCCCAAAACTAAGTATTTTTTTCATGCTTTCCAGATTATTCAGTTGTGACCAGTCATGGGAAGTTCCACCCCAAAGGAACATCTTTGAGTGAGTGAATGAAGGATTTATATTCTAGTTGTGTTCTAAATTGTAGCGTCTGCTATAATGAGTGATGCAAGTCTTATCTGGAGAGCTTTGTAATGCATAATATGAGATGTGTTGGGCATTTTATCACTGAACTGGCTTTTTTGATGCTGTTGACATCCCTGAGAAAAATCCAAGATGGCAATGCTATATTGAGGCAGAAGCAAACGTCACCATTATTTCCTTTATTTTATTACTAGAGCCAAACAGGTATTTGACTAGTATCAGGGGGTAGCCGTGTTAGTCTGTATCTACAACAACAACAAGGAGTCTGGTGGCACCTTAAAGACTAACAGATTTATTTGATGCCCAAATAAATCTGTTAGTCTTTAAGGTGCCACCAGACTCCTTGTTGTTTTTGTAGGTATTTGACTGTAGAATTCACTTGGCGTGTAGCAGCCAGCATATTTTCAGAGTCTGCATGTAGTATGCTCGATCATTTTCCCTTTTGACTTTATGGCCTACGTGGGTCTGCTCAGCTAGCTGTGAATGTTTCAGTATTAGCCCTTTTTGTATGTCAGTCGTTAACAGGCCATCTAAACCCTGCTCAAGTAGCAGCATCTAATGCACTGATTCAAGAAGGCTTGCAGGGTTAATTCTGTCATTACTGTGTTGACATGAGGCATGTTACATCTTTCAGCTCAAAATGTTACTTGTAATCTTTTAATCCTAAATTAGGTCAATGTTTTATCAAGTTAATCTAACATGAAGATTAATTAGGCTAGTTAACACAGAGGGAGGTTATTTGTTTTGAGGCTACATTTAATCAAGGAATTAGTCCTTAATATAATAGGTAACTTTTTACTCCTTTCTTGATTCCAGCTCACCTGATGTGTGTGATTATTTCTTGGCATGCACTGCATAGGACATAACATTAGAAAAGGGCTAAACTTGAACCTTTCATTCAATCCACTGTTCCCGTCTTCCTCTCTCTTCCCCCCCGCCACCAACCCCATCAAAATAAAACAACATAGTGCATAAAATGGGACCTGTCCAAAACAGACTCTGGTTTTCATTTTGCAAACCTGACTGACAAGATTATGTAAAATTAAACCCATCCCACTGTTTATTGATTGTAACTGTAAAGGCTCATTCAGAAGGAAAAAAAATCTGACCTTAATATTGAAGTGTTTAATATTTCAATTTGAAATAATTCTATAATATTTCAGGACCCAATGCTTCTGGTGAGAATTATTGCCACTTGAAATATGAAAAGTAAATGATTATACCTGAAGAAAGATGATAGCGACATACCTTGTGATCTGTGTCTTTGTGAAGGGAAGTAGAAGAAGGGGTAACATGTTCAAGATGAAATGACTGCTCTTGATAGTAATGAGGTAGTGTCTATATTTTCCTAGGTCAATCTGTCTATTTAATATACATTTTTAATTTAATCCTGTTGAGCTGCTTGATGTTTTTGTATCTGATATAACTATTATTTCTTTTCTGAAAAGAAGTCCTCTTTTCCCCTCAAGGTTATATCTCTGTGCTGTATTTTTAATGACAGAGCAATAATTATGGCAATAACAAAATAGAAAATGGACTTCACTGGTTATTTCCTTGACCAGTTTAATTCAATATTCTTTTCCTAAATATAAACTTTCTGAAATTTAGTAAATCCTCCAATTAAACATCAGTAGAGTGGGGAGGGAAGAGAGTGGGAGGGAGGTGGCATAAATCTGCTAACAGGGGTCATTAGACTGGACAAATGCCTTTCTCCCCTGAGTTTCCTAGATAAGGAGAACCTAACTAGTAGTTAAAAATTCCAAGAGTCATTCTGGATAGCATTACGGACCCCCCGGGTGTTGCTGCAGAGTTCATGCCCTGTTTCATCAAATACCTAGTGACATTCACCAGGGGCCATGCTAATTATAGGGATTTAGCAGACAATGTCTAAGACCATTTCATCGCAAAATAGCATGTTTTTGTCTTCAAGTATTGGTTTCTTGGTGTGTTAAGTTAGCAAAAATTTGGAAGTAAAATGATTTTGCAGTTTGTTAATGTATCTTTACAACTGCATTCATCAACCTATTGAAACTTTAAGATCCAATTTTCACTGCATTAGCATGAAGAATAATGTGTTCTTTTAAAATTACATGGAGGAGGCACAAGATAACTTAAAAATTCATGGATTCTGTGTTAGTTTTAATCCAATTGCTTTAGTGAGGTGCAGAGTTCATTCACTATGAAATGTTTTTCATTGGGCAGGACTTAGAGGCCTGATTCTCCTTTTACTTACACCAGAGTTAATCAGGAATAATTCCAGTGAAGTCACTGAAGTTACACTGGTGTGAGTAGAATCAGGACCCTAGTGCTTATATGTTTCATTACCATATAAAATTACTGCTTGATTCCCAAAGAGGAAGGATGGTCTAGTGGTTAGGGTGCTAGCCTGGGACTTAACAGACCTGGGTTCATTCTGCCACAGACTTCCTCCATAACCCTGGGGAAGTCACTTAGCCTCTTTGTGACTCAATTTCCATCTGTAAAATGAGAACAATGCTACTTGCGTACTTCACAGGGTTGTTGGGAGGATAAATATACTAGAGATTGTGAGGCACTCAGATATGCCCCCTTCCTAGGCATATAAGTACCTCAGATAGATGGTCCATAGTGTGGTAATGGTTTGAGTGCTGGGGAAGTAATTCAAAGACTAATTGGGTGAACTATATATAATTCTAAAACTCAGAATTCTAAGGAGCCCTATCCAGTTTTCCCAGATGGAGGATTCTCCATTTTGCATGGGACTCTGTAAATGGAAAAGAACATGAATAAGCTAAAAAAATAAGAAATCTTTAACCTCTAGGCAAACTCAGTTTTATCCAACAATATTTGTAGTGATCAAATTATTTATTTTATTAAACTTTTATATTGAAGTAGCCACACGGACCACACTACCATTGTACTAAGGATTGTACAAACATATAATAAATGACTGTGTCTGTGCCAAAGAATTTACAATCTGAAAGATTTAGCTGGCTAATCAAGTCTAAATAGTTTTTATTCCATATTTACTTCAGTGGATTTCAGCACTTTTGAAAGTTAGCCCACTTAATTAGGCATGTAAATACTGATTTATGAGCATAACTTTAGGCATCTAGCTTTATGAAAATCTGGCAAATATATTTAATGATAAAGCTACCACTGTGAAAAAACAAGTACAAGTGAAGGGGAAAGATTTAGGATTGAAAGATAGCTAGTTGGGCCTTTGGCAGAAGTGTCATTCATCTAAGCAGAACATTCACAGAATTGATATACTGTACCACTGAATTTCAGGAATACTAGACATTGGTTTTGGCTCTTCCATGCCCCTCGGGAAGCTATTACTGTATCTTCATACTTTCTTGGACATTTTTTACTGATATTTCAGCCCCAGAAATTTTCAGGTCCATGCTATATGTTTAAAGAAAAGTTAACAGTGGGTAGAATTTCTCCTGCATCTGAAATTATTACGAGCTCTAAAGCTATTTGGTGCTCACTCTGCCAGCATGTCTTTACATTTCTTCTGAAAACAATTTCTAAGGGCTATATTCTAAGGGCACCATTCCAGGAGGATACACAGGAAGGAATTGTGCCCAATTTCACCAGTGCAGTAGTGAGATGTGCAGGTAACAGTGTACTCCCCTGGTGTGCCTGGCCCACTCTGCAGGCCGATGTAGAGGGACCACGTGCCCACCACCCTCACACCATATTGGGGCAATGTTCACCCTCCCCAGTGGCTCATGGAGAGAACACTCCCTAAAATATAGGGACTGTGGTTATCCTGCTCCTTCTGTAAGATGCACAAGTAAGGGAAAAGGGTAGGTGGGTGAGTAGGAGCACAAATTTCCTTGCAGCTTCCCCATTCGCTGATCACCAATATATAGGAAATGATGCAGCGATGGAATTTTGTCATCTTAATGAGACTGGTTTTATGGTGCTTGAGACATGCAGGCCTAAATTATAGAAAAACATTTTCTAGATTAACCCTTGAGCTTTTAGTCTCTTCATTGAATTATCTGAAAGGTAAAATACTCAGCTTCATAATATTTGCACCCTCTTCACTGCCTTTGTCTTTTTAAAAAGCCTTAAGTGTCTGCCTCGAATACTTTTTGCAATATCTGGCTGTCATGCTGTTTGTTATTTCTGTGAAAAAAGGGCTGCAGAGCATTTCCAATGAGCTCACTGCAAGCTGTCAAATAAATGCATTGGCAGATACCCGCATGCTTAATGGCTCCAGGAAGTGTTAGTGCCAATTCTAATCATATAAATTTTGCAGATACACTCAGTCTCAGATTTTGCTAGGTCAGTTCACACAAGGTGCACTTTTCACATTTTTTTTTCACCCCACTGCATACAATAAACCCATTTGCAGATAAAAAAACCTTCTTACAAGTGAATGTAACTTTTTAAAATTGACACAAGTGTAAAAGGAGATGCTTCAGTAAAGATAAATTTAGCAAGTGAGCTCTAAAGTTGTATAACTTAAGCCTGCTAACGTGTCATGCATTAGTTAATATTCAAACAGCAATTTGAAGATGTAAAGTGCTATACAAGTGCTATATTATTTGCATCTTTTCCCAGAACACTCCAATATGGTTGCCTAGGGAATAGGGGAGGTTTTGGGCAATGTGTACAGTATGATCTTGTTGGCCTTTTAGGTGAAAAATAAACCTTTTATTTAATTTTTTTCCTCCTGATCAGATGCACAGCTCATTGCCATAAGAGCCCAGGATGAGCACAAACAGTATTACTTCTGCATACTCCAGTATAATACAAATAATCTGGTGCAAGACACTCCATATAAAAGTAGTTAGAGATGTCTTTATGTAACAGATTTTTATGGATTATAGGCCTGATCCAAAACTCATTAAAGTCAGTTGGAATCATTAAGTCGACTCTAATGGGGAGTGGATCAGGCTATATACCTCCATCTCTTTATTCCTTCATAGGCTTTCACCTTTTGTTATTACACATAGTTTTGAATGTCCAATATATATATATATATTTTAAAAGATAGGCCCAGCATTAATCAGAGGTCTGGGGTGTAATCATTTCTGCTGTGTGCATTTGTAAGGGATGATCTTGTAAAATGCTGCTTATTATTGCATTCACCTTTAGGATGTACATTTATTTCTTCCAAACAGATTTAGTGCCTCTGTATATGTTTGGTTAATAGGCCTTGGTGACATGTAAGTGCTACAGGGTCTCCTCATTGTCTTCATCTCTTCCTGCTGTCCTCTATGTCAATATTAGTTTACAAAGAAGTGCCCCACTGCAATTAATTTGTCTTTCCAAGAATTCAGATTCATAAATCAGCCTCTTTCTCCCCTCTCTCACACACGCTTTTTGATGATGTAAACATTAGTGATTGCAAAACCTCTAAAGATTCAAAGATCTAGTTCAGAAGTGCCCCCCAAAACTGGATACTTATCTTAAACATACCTTTTGAGATTTCCCTTCATCCATCTGCCATTATTTTCCTACCTGCCTACTCAAATCCTTCTCTTCACCATTCTTTGTACTTTTCTTTTAAATGGAGTTCCTTGTTGGATATGGATGAATAAGTTAGAAAAAGAGCCACTCCTATCCTCATCTCAGATCTTGTCCTGAATAGAATGGATTCATAAAAGATAGAATACATGCCTTTGTCCCTTTCTGTGATGCCCAACAGTCCTTTGCTAAACCTCTTTCTTGCTGAAATCCTTCTCCAGATGCCAGAAAGCTTGTCAATGTCCTTTGGGCTGGCTTACTGTCTTCAGATCTTGCTAGTACCTGGTCAGCTCAGGAAGCCCCAGAAAGTTAGAGATGTTAATAACGTAGCCTAGCAGAGAATATGACAAATCTGAGACTTGCACCTCATAAGTCATGTTACACCTAAACTCAGGGTATACATCAGGTCAGGTCAAGATAAAAGAACTGGAATATTTTCTTGGGGTTCAGAGAAGTAGGTATGAGAATAATGGAAGGATGGAGGCAGAAGAAGGGTTGGGAAAGCAGGAAGAGGATGAAACAGGAAGGAAGAGGAGAAAGATCCAAAAAAGTTAGATATATTTTGTTAACTTCAGATAATGATCCAAACTTTTCAGAAATTATCCAAACCAAACCTCTGAATCTTTCAGCCATCACTAACTTCATCTGTGTCTACTTGATTCCCAGCAGGCTCCCAGACCTTACAACCCAAAGTCACTTCTGAACGCATATCTACCTCTACCAGCATCCTGTTTTAATGAGGACATTCAAAGGTACTGTATGGTTCTCTCTCTGCAGCAATGGAGGCTAGTAGTGAACGCCCAATGGGGCTAAACCTCACTAATTAAATCTCCTATAATTTCTTTCTTTGAAACAAACAAAAATCACTTTTTTTTTAATCTGATGCCTTTCATTTCCCTCCCCCTCTCTCCAAGAGTAAAATTGAGACAGCTGTAGCATGTGGTGGCAGTGAATGGCCTATATAGTTCTCTTCAGTTGCTGGGGCTTTTGGGGGCAGGAACCCTATAGGCACGTAGAGTCTGGAACCCCACCTCCTCATATTTGACTTCAGCTCCTCCTTTCTCCAAAGGGACTCTTCCAGTATAGCCTTCCATTCTTGAAACTTTTGAAAGGTTTTGATTTTTACAAGGAGCCTTCTCTGTCACAAGAGGAAAGTTCACATTTCAGCAAGTGCCTGCAAAACATAGAACATGAACCAAAAAAAAAAAAGAAAAGAAAGCCACAAGCCAGGCTTCCAAATTAATCAGTTTCCTGCAGAACAGTATACAGGAAACTGAAATTTGGCTCTGCACAGCATGCTTTGAGATTCTGACCACAAAAGCTAATATTCAAGCATGCCAGCACCCCATTCATTGTCTTAAGTAAACAATTTAACATCCATTATTCATTTATCCCAAGTTCAGACATTACATTCTTGAACACAACCCTGCTAGAAAGTGCTCAGCTTGTAGACTCATGTTCCTCACATCATCAAGGAAACTAGCAGAACAGAAAGATTACAAATGAGAGGAGACCATTATGCTCCTAAACATTAGTAAGTGAACTTGAAGTCTCATGTGCGTGGCTGTGGAGGAAGACAAAAGTCAAATGACTGTGACTGAAAAACATCAAATCTGGGATATGCCAGAGGGTTCTCTCTCAATTTCTTGGGTATCCTTCATAAAAATGTAATAAACTTTTTAAGCCTTTATTTAGTTATGTATTTACAAACAAGAAATGATACTCTTTGCAGATATACAAAAATTCACTAGCCTTAAAATCCAGGATTTTCAGAAGGCCTGGAGCCTGATTTTTTTCCAGAGATGTTATGTACTGAATTCTAACTAAAGCCAACAGGAGATGCAGGTGCTTAGAGTTTCTGAAAATCAGGCCCCTGTTTCTTACATATTTAAGCCAGCTTCAACTGTTAGTGTTCCTAACAAGAAATTAAAATACATTAACATAAACATCCCCATGCCCACCCTTCTGGCATAACGCAGTTCTCTGACCCTTTGGTGTGGAAACTTACCTTCCCAAGGGCATTCCCCTCTCAGTCTGTCACCCATGCAGACACTCACATAGCCTCTCCCTTGAGCACCTGTGCAAAGAAACAGGAATGCTGAGCTGAAGTTAACCTCTTGTTCATCAAGAATCAGTTAGTGCCCCTGCACTATGTGACAGTGTGTTGTAATTTCCTCAGAAGATCCATTGGGTGTTAAATATTTCTCAATTCATTTTTTAAGGGAGGGAGAAAAAGTGGTAAGTGAAGAAAGGGGTGAACCCAAATAAGAAAAATATAAAAGGTGATAAGGAAGAATTGGGGGAGGCGGAAGGGAGGAACAACTTCAGTATGAATATAAAGGGAGTTTAGCCTGAGTAGAGACTGAAGGATTGGGTCTTTAGGCATAAGGAATAGGAAGTAATATGATTATTAACAATCGTAAAAAAAATTACAATTTACATCCCACAGGAAATGCCAATATTTCAACATTTTTGTCTGTCCCAAATCTGGAAGAATAGTCAAGTTATCTAAATTTTGTGTAGAATTAAAAGTTCACCAAAATTTCAATGTGGAAATGTCAAAACATTTCATTTTGGGTCAGTTCAACATTAAACTAAAGCTGCCTAAGTTGTTGTGGTGCCTCATTAGAGTGGTAGATTGGATGCCTCAAACACCTATTCTCCCCTATGGGCTCCCTGGTTGGACTTTGTATCCTGTGGTGCATTATGGTTATGGAACTCGCATAATGCACCCTGGCAGCTCAGTCAAAGGGGAGACCCTGGTGCATCACGGAAGGTGTAGTCCAGCCAGAGGCGTAGCGAGCGCCCTCCGACCGGAGGGGGCCCCACAAGGAAGGGGGCCCCTAAAAGTGGCAAAAAAAATGTAAGGTATAACTAGGTAAGTGACATTTATTGACGCTATTGCACAATCCATGTCGGTTTTACTGACAAAACCATGAAGTTATTATGATATATCATAATGCTATTGGCTACATCAGTTGTCTGTCGGTCAGTTTCAATTTTAGTTGGACCCATTCAAAGAATGTGCATTTGCGTTCATAATGGCGGTCGGCGGATAAATGTTATTAATTTAGTTGTTTAATTTTTTATTGTTTGAAACGATTAGTTTCCAACGCAGAAGCATGCTTTGTGATGTCTAAGAGAACGTATAAGAGCGGAGCTAGTAAACGAAAGGCAGCAAAAGATGCCGAGAAGGACCTTGAGAAAATTCCAAAGTTGTCAACGTATTTTGCGCTGCAATCCAACGTACAGGTACAGGCACAAGAAATGGACAGCGCTAACAGCGACGAATCGTATCCAGAAGTGCTTCAAGTGAGGTCGAAGGTGAAGCCAGTTGTTCTACCAAACAAACTGTGACAGATATTCCAGCTGCTGCCGGGAAAGAAGTATCTGAATCTGAACCACTGACTGATGATCCAGGAGATTGGCCATCTATAATATCAGACAGGCAAGTGTGTGACATTGTTGCACGTGGCCCACTGCAGCGGAATGAAAGGTACGAATTTCCATTTAAC